TGGAAGGAGTTTGTGGAGGGAGGAGCTCAGTGGGGATGTGACAGCACTCTAGGAGTTTAGCTTCTCCTAGTTTCCGTGGTCTACCATAGAGTTCCCCCTCCAAAGCTGGCATTTCCTCCAGGGAAGTTGACTTATATCGTCTGGGAACCAGTCATAATCCCGGGAGAATCTGAGGCCCTATCTTGACTCAGGCATCCCTAGTGCTGTGGGAAAGCGGGTTAACTCCCCTCAGCATTTTCCCAGTCAGAAACGCCTTCTCCCAGGTTTCTTTAAGCCTTAATGGGGGGGGGGGCAGGCCCAGCACAAATATTTGTCTTTTCTTCCCCTATCAGCCAGAGAGGGTATTTTGTACCAGGGAAACAGTGCCAGAGAAAGGGTTAAACTGCCCCCTCGTCCAGTGTCATCGATCAATGCGTACTGGGCTCTCCATTGCTGCTTTTAGGGCCCAATCACATATCAGTAGTTCCCGTTAGCCCTGACCCAGGGCTATTTTTGGGCAGGAACGCACAGGAACGGAGTTCCGGCTGGCTCCCAAGTTGGCCACGCCCAGCAGGAACTCATTAGCATAATAGGCCACACCCAACAGCAGGAACTCATTAGGATTGGCTACATTAGGGGGTGTGGCCTAACATGCAAAGAAGTTCCTGCTACAAAAAAAGCCCTGGGTTTTGACAATAAACAAGGTAAACAGAATAAGAAGCAAAAGGTGTGTGTGGCTGGATGACCACACTTCTGGTAACACGGGGGTGCAGCCTAATATGCTAATGAGCTGTGCTGTCAGGGCGTGGCCTAATATGCTAATGAGTTTCTGCTGTTGGGTGTGGCCTATTATGCTAATGAGTTCCTGCTGGGCTTTTTCTACAAAAAGAGCCCTGCCCCTGACCTGGATAGCGCAGGCTAGCCTGATCTCGTCAGATCTTGGAAACTAAGCAGGGGCAGCCCTGGTCAGTATTTGGATGGGAGACCACCAGGGAATACCAGGGTTGTGATGCAGAGGCAGGCAATGGCAAACTGAACCACCTCTGAACATCTCTTGCCTTGGAAACCCTATGGGGTCACCCAGAAGACAGCGGCAACGCGATGGCAAAAAAAAGGTTCCAGTCATGATACTCCAGTCTCATCTGTGATTTGGCCCTTCCTAGTAGAGTGGCAAAGTATTAAGGTTTGCCTTGGAGCGGCTTTGCAAATCGTGTCTCCACTGAAAGATTTTGACGCCCCTCTCTTTGTTTATGATTTTCAGTGTCGTCCCTTTCATCGGAACTGAGTGAACAGATCTCCCAGATTCCAGAGCTACCTGCTGGACTTGACGATCAGCGTAAGCCTCTATATGCATCTCCAGGGCCTCCTGAAGTGCTCGGGGGGTGGTGCTTGGTGGCCCAGGTGTGCGGTGGCTGGTGGAGCGGAAGGCTAGTACTTGAACAGGAGACCACCAAGGAGATCCGGGGTTGCTATGCAGAGGCAGGCAATAGCAAACCACCTCCGAATGTCTCTGCCCTGACCAGGGGTCGTTTCATTGAAAAAGAGGTGCAGGAGCTCATTAGCATAAAACATTAGCATAACCTATTTGCATATGCCATACCCCCTGATCTAAGAGATCTCTTAGATGCAAGCCCTGTCACTCTTGCCCTGAGCTCCTGCGGGCTTGGGTGGGCAGGCGGGCGGGCGGGGGAGGGGGGTGAGAAACGCGGCGGGGGAGGGGGTGGCCGGCCTCTGAAGGCCTTTCTCGGACCCTGCGCTCCAGCACTGGGCTGAGAAACGTGGCGGCGGGGGAGGGGGGTGGCCGGCCTCTGAAGGCCTTTCTCGGGACCTGCACTCCAGCACCAGACCAAGAAATGTGGCAGGGGAGGGGGGTGGCCGGCCTCTGAAGGCCTTTCTCAGGACCTGCGCTCCAGCGCCAGGCTGCAACTTACGTTCCTTCTGCCTCCTCGTGGCCTGACTAATGGCTGATGGGAACAGGGGGCGGGGCTTGGTCATGTGCCCACGCCCCCAGCTCTTCCCTCCCGGAGCGCCGCTCCGGTGGGCTCCAGGGCCAACTGACCCCTGGCCCTGACCTAGATGTCCCAGGCTAGCCTGATCTCATCAGCTCTCAGAAGCGAAGCAGGGTCAGCCCTGATTAGTACTGGGATGGGACGCCACCAAGGATGTCCAGGGTTGCTCCACAGAAGCAGGCAGCGGCAAGCCACCCCTGATTTTCTCTTGCTTTGAAAACTCCACGGGGTAGCCGATAAGTCAGCTAGCGACTTGATGGCACTTTCCACCCCCACCATGCCGGTGTTCTCCCCTCTGTCACTCTGCCCTACTGTAACATTCGGCTGGTCTCGTAGAAGCTTATTTGCTGGAGTATTCCAAACCGAGCACCGAATAATAGATTCTTTTGAACTATGGTGCTGGAGAAGACTCTTGAGAGTCCCTTGGACTGCAAGAAGATCAAATCAGTCAATCCTAAAGGAAATCAACCCTGACTGTCCCCCGGAGGGCCAGATAATGAAACTGAAGCTCAAATACTTTGGCCACCAAATAAGAAGGGAGCACTCACTGGAGAAGACCCTGATGCTGGGAAAGATTGACGGTCAAAGAAGACGGGGACGGCAAAGGATGAGACGGTTAGACAGTGTCATCGATGCAACGTACATGAAATTGAGCCAGCTTCAGAGGACGGCGGAAGACAGGAGGGCCTGGCGGGAGATGGTCCATGGGGTCGCAAAGAGTCGGACTTGACTGTGCGACTGAACAACAACAAATTCCAAACACTTCTACTAGCTCAAGTTCTAGGGTTGCCAACCCCAGGTTGGGAAATTCTAGGAGATTTGGGGGTAGAGCCTGTGGAAGGTGGTCTTTGGGGAGGTGATGGACCTCAGCAGGGTACAATGCCCTACAGTCCACCTCCAAAACAACCATTTTCTCCAGGGGAACTGATCTCTGTACTCTGGATATCTGTAGTCTGGTCTTTGTTGCCTGCAGATCAGTTGTGATTCCCAGAGATCTCCAGGTACCACCTGGGGATTGGCAACCCTATGCTCAACTGCCGCTTTCCACCCAATACACACTCACTGCCACCACTGAAACGGAGGTTGCTTCCTCAACAGAGGATTTTCTCTGTCTTCGCTTCCAAATTGGAGCACTTTTTTGGCACTTTTGCACAACATTGTGCTCTGATTGATCTGTTTACTGGTTTTCACCATCCTCAAAAGTTAAACCACAAGCCAACAATGAGGCAAAATGGGGGGGGCAGTGTAATTCACTGTCCTATCATTAGCAGCCCCGCTCAGGTCTTGCAGACTGAGGTTTGTATTGAGGTTAACTGGTGTGTCCAGTCACCATTAGTTAGCAGAGTGCTTAAATAAATGCAGGAACATCACTTTTCCAGGTGACTCAGCTTACAAAGCTACACAGAGCCACGTTGCAAGTTTAAGAAGAGAAATAACTTCTCTCTTTATTGGAGAAGTACACTTTGGATAGGAAAGAGCAGAGATTGATAGATTACCAGGGGTCATTTCCTGCGGGGACGCACAGGAGCGGAGCTCCGCCAGTAAAGAGCCCAGGGGGCGGGCACATGCTGAGCTATTCAAAGTCTTAGAAGATGATGCTGTTAAAGTGCTGCACGCAATTTGCCAGCAAATTTGGAAAACGCAACAGTGGCCACAGGATTGGAAAAGGTCAGTATACATTCCAATCCCAAAGAAGGGCAATGCCAAGGAATGTTCAAACTATCGCACAATTGCACTCATATCACATGCTAGCAAGGTCATGCTCAAGATCCTACAAGCTAGGCTTCAACAGTATGTGGATAGAGAACTGCCAGAAGTACAAGCTGGGTTTCGAAGAGGTAGAGGAACCAGAGATCAAATTGCCAACATTCGCTGGATTATGGAGAAAGCAAGAGAGTACCAGAAAAACATCTACTTCTGCTTCATTGACTGCTTTTGACTGTGTGGATCACAACAAACTATGGCAGGTCCTTAAAGAGATGGGAGTACCAGACCACCTCACATGTCTCTTGAGAAACCTGTATAAGGGCCAAGAAGCGACCGTTAGAACCGGTTATGGAACAACTGATTGGTTTAGCATAGGAAATGGAGTACGACAAGGATGTATATTGTCGCCTTGTTTATTTAATATATATGCAGAGTGCATCATGCGAAATGCTGGCCTAGATGAATCACAAGCGGGAATTAAGATTGCTGGGGAAAAGATCAACAACCTCAGATATGCAGACGATACCACTCTGATGGCAGAAAGTGAAGAGGACCTCAAGAGCCTCTTGCTCAGGGTAAAAGAGGAGAGCGCAAAAGTGGGCTTGAAGCTCAACATCCAAAAAACTAAGATCATGGCATCCGGCCCCATCACTCCTTGGCAAATAGAAGGGGAAGTCGTGGAAGTAGTGACAGACTTTACGTTCCTGGGATCCCAGATCACTGCAGACTGTGACAGCAGCCATGAAATTAAAAGACGCCTGCTCCTTGGGAGGAAAGCGATGGCGAACCTAAACAGCATGATAAAAAGTAGAGACATCACCCTGCCAACAAAAGTCCACATGGTCAAAGCAATGGTATTCCCAGTAGTCATGTATGGCTGCGAGAGTTGGATTATAAGGAAGGCCGAGTGCCGAAGAATAGATTCTTTTGAACTATGGTGCTGGAGAAGACTCTTGAGAGTCCCTTGGACTGCAAGAAGATCAAATCAGTCAATCCTAAAAGAAATCAACCCTGTCTGTTCCCTGGAAGGCCAGATAATGAAACTGAAGCTCAACTACTTTGGCCACCCAATGAGAAGGGAGCACTCACTGGAGAAGACCCTGATGCTGGGAAAGATTGAAGGTCAAAGAAGACGGGGACGGCAAAGGATGAGATGGTTAGACAGTGTCATAGATGCAACGAACATGAAATTGAGCCAACTTCAGAGGACGGCGGAAGACCGGAAGGCCTGGCGGGAGCTGGTCCATGGGGTCGCAAAGAGTCGGACTCGACTGTGCGACTGAACAACAACAACAAAGCTAAAGGATGGAAGCAGATGACGAGAGGCCCATCAGCCTCATGGTGCCAAGAGAGGACCGCATGTCCCTCTCTTGCTGTATGCAGGTAGAGAGCACGTCTTCATCCAGAGTGAGAGAAAAGGAGGAAGGGGAAATTGATCCCTGAGAACAGTCTGCATTTCAAAGAGGACAGTGGCAGGATACCAGGAAGAAAGGTCGGTGTGTGCCTGTCTAGCTATCTGCCCTCTCTTGCCACTCAGTCTGGAGGTCTGAGACAGGGGACAACACATCTGGAACTTCCAGAAGTCTGCGGCTTCTGTGACTGAGCCCATCAATCTCGTGTTGAGTCTTCCTCTTTTCCTGCCACCTTCGATTTTTCCTAGCATTATCGTCCTTTCCAGTGACTTTTGTATTCCCATGATGCGATCAAAGTCCGATAGCCTCAGTTTAGGCCTTTTAGATTCCAGGGAGAATTCAGGCTTGATTTGATCTTAGAACCCACTTATTTGTCTTTTGGGTGGACCTCAGACAACAGACTAGAGCAGAGGTAATTTCGGGGGGGATCACGGGGGAACGCAGTTCCCCCGGGTGAGGTGCAAGGGGCGGGGCACATGACGAAGCCCTGCCCCCTGCTTCCGGCCGCCCCGCTTCCGGCCCTCATTCAGCCAGGAGGAGGCAGGAGAAGAGGGAGGGTAAGTTGCTTCTTCCCCGCCTCTCCCCACCCCTGCCTGCCTGGGGCCAGGGAGGGCCTTGGCGGGGCTTCCTCGCACTCCTGCTGGCCTTGCAGGTCCACCGCCAGGCCCCTGATGTCAGGGGGTGTGGCATATGCTAATGAGTTATGCTAATGAGTTCCCCTAGCTCTTTTTCTACGAAATGACCCCTGGACTAGAGCAAAACAAAAAAAATATGACAGGATATAAGAGACCTTTTCAGTCCTTTTCTGGCAAGACAAACAAACCTTTTCCTGTCATTCTCTTGTGACTTTCTTCTTACAGTACCCTCTCAGGCAGAGATTTATATTTCTCCACTTTTCAAAACGCTTCCCCAGTTCATGCAAACTTGCCGCAAAGCTCTTCCCTGATTCTCTTTTCATACTGCTCCACCCGCCACCTAGTGGTCAATGGCAGCTAGTTCATTATTAGCACTGAAGGAAAATTTGTTGGATTGCGGTTCATGACCTGCTAGGAATCTAGACTGATCTTGTCAGATCTTGGAAGTTAAGCAGGGGCAGCCATGGTCAGTATTTGGATGGGAGACCACCTGGGGGTGGGGGTGGGGGTGGAAAGTGCCACCAAGTCACAGCTGACATATGGCGACCAGTGTTCCCTCTAAGCTGGGTTAGTGTGAGCTAGCTCAGGAAGGAGGGCCCCAGAGCAAACTGATTCATGCAGCAGCCAAATCACTCGCTCACAACTTTAAGGCCAGTAGCTCACAAAGCAGAATTTTTGCTCACGAGACTCCACAGCTTAGAGGGAGCATTGCTTCCAATGCACTTTGGCAATCGTTTGCAAGTGGATTTTACTGTTTCACACCGTACAGACCCAGCTGCATCGAAGGTGCAATGAAAGTCCAGCATTTGTGCAAGTGCCCTTAATTTGGCCTTGCTGGCATCTGTTATTTAGCCCAGAACATCAGGACTAATGTGCCCCTGATCCAACATAGAATATCTTTCCCCCTCATTCTTGAGAAACTACAGAAAGTTCCTCACACATCAGGAACTCAACAGAAGGCCTTCGAGATTATTAGAAGGTGTTTGCAGGGGTGCCCGGGCAAGCCAAGGGAAGGAATGGGGGTGTGGCCTGATATGATAATGAGCTGCATTGTCAGGGGTGTGGCATAATATGCTAATGAGTTTCTGCTGTTGGGTGTGGCCTATTATGTTAATGAGTTCC